GTTATATACACATGAGCCAACTGCTGTGTTTAACACTGATCTTGGCAATGCAAGCACTACCTTAAATAAGGTAAGGAAACTAGCAGAGACAGTCTTTCCTGTTAGGAAGAGTATCTTTATTACAAACCATAGGACACCACGTGACACAAAACTTTCCCTTAATACATGGTATTACACCCAATTACTTGTGATCACCACCTGGCAGTCCTTGTGGCTTGTCATTCCCTCAGAAATGGAATAATCAGAAAACTAGCTTTTCAGGAGTCCTCCAGAGGTACACAAGTGAACATTAAAAACTACAGGTACTTCAAACAGAAATACCTATTCCATGTCTCTCTTCTTCATGTGAATTTCCACAGGAAACTGTACACAAAGATCTTCCTACCTGTGGTCTCCATCCTAAGACTTTGGATCAACTGAGTCAGTGTCCAACATTGGGAAAATCCTCCATCCGATTTCTGGAAATGAAGGATTATGCTTACACCTGGAAGTCCTAGATACGCTAGTTCCATTTAATGGAAAAGAATGCTCTCTAGTGTGCAGTTGCTGTACTTACATTTGAGTCTACAGAGGCAGCACCTATGCAGTACTGGGAGGGATACAATCTAGTTGAACATCACAAACAACTATTGCACATCACCCATCACAGAACACTTCAAAGTACTTTTGAAGAAAATGAAAGAAAAGGCCTTGGACCTCTCCTTTTGTATTTTAGAAAGCCTTTTTAAAATAAAACTTGATAAAACATTGTTATCTAGTTTGTTGGTCTGCATTCCGTCTGGAAGGTCTGTATTCTTCATGTACATGCAAATTCTATTCTGAAGAACACAATTTCCACTACTGCTGTGTGCGGTTAACTCATAACCATTTTGGATGGGTGGAGGTCTTGGCAAAAACCCTTCCAAGACTGCTTACAATACCTTGACAGAAGCTTGATAGCTAAACCTTGGTATGCTGCACCTCTTGGTTTGGAGTCAGTTCTGAGTTCCACAAAGACAGATGAAAGTCACAAGCACAGAGTTCTGGCTGCAGCTGAAGCAGATTAAAAGGTGAAGATTCCTCAGAACTTCTTGGCATAGCTGTCTAGTATTCCCACACCCACTCACGTTAAAATAAACTAGACGTTTAAAAAGCAACTTGTACAAACTATAACCTGAATCAGAACAAGTTGGAGCAATAACACAGTTAACACCACCTGAATGAAGACAGGATGGAAGACCAAGAAAATAAGAGGCGGCAGGAAGCTGCTGACCTGCCTCTGTATGATCATAGCAACACTAGAGTCTATTAAGAGGTTTAATGCAGTCTGTTGCACTTCAGGTAAAGTAGTGAAAGCTGTTACTTTGGCAGTGTGCATGTCACTTTTCATACCACTATCAGGTGATCTGAGTCCTGCAGGAGAGAATGCTAAATCTGAAGAGGAATATGTAAAATACATCATGCTTGTACACTCCAGCAGGATTTCTAATTCAACGCAGCACAGAAAATAAAGCAGTACTCGTGCCATGTCGTCAGCTACCCTCACCTTTACTATAGTGCCGTTTTCTTTACCACCTCAGAATCTGCTGTTCTGGAACAGTAAACTTAAGACTGTAGACAGGTCTTACTTGACAAAACAACCTGCAAACTTAAAAATGCGGGTACGTAAACAAGTTACTGCACATTGAGACAAGACGAAAGCTTCCTATGCCTTCCAGTATCTTTATATCGACACTGCTTGATGAAGCAAACACAGCATGTATGCAATTACACTGGAATACTTCATGTTTACCTTTGTTACTTTACAGTAACTACCATGACACTGTCAGCCTAGTGGTACACTGACCAAGAGAACATCTAGAAAACCTAGGTAAAAGGAAAGTCCCTCTCTTATGATGGGAAAAGGCACCTTAGAATATTGAATACTTTGATAATGTCAAATACTCTGTTCCTGGCAGATTTCAGGGTAGTAAAATCCCAGCTTTAATTAATCTTTGCACTTCTCCCTAACTAATGTATAAGCACAATACTGAACTTTTCCCCTTTGATTAGGATCAGACACCAAGAGTTAAAATCCAGTGCTAATAGCATCGTGGGGAAGAACAGAAGACTGGGTTTCTAAAGTGGTTGGTGTGTTAACTACACTTTCAAGTAGTTAAGAGAACAAGTTAAATCAATGCCTTTTTTATCTGGCTTGTTGGCCTCCATCAGTCATAGCCTCTACTACCACGCTTTGCAGTCTGTTGTAAACTAATCTTTAGCCCAACGCTACAGGTCATCAACAGCTGTTCTCACCAACCACATTCTGGTGCACTGAAGGGAGTACAGCTTCCCCTGGTGTCACAGGTGAGCCCTTCTGAAAGCTGCTCATGACCTGAGCCCAGAGCCCCGGGTCTGGAACAGGCAGCACCTGAGTGTGCGCTCGAGGAACAGGCCTACCCTACAGAGCATGTCAGCCTATGGAACAAGTTACTGAAACCAACAGGAAAAAGCAAGTCTATTAGCTGCCTCTACAGTAAAGCAATGTTAAACAAGCCAATAACCATTTTGGTATGTGGACCTGAGTCTGTTTCTAGGAAATACAATAATTCCTATTAATTTCAGTTCAAATTTGTATTTTCACATCTAGCATGTGAGAGTTATGACAAGACACTAACACCAATTAATAGCTTGCAGTAATTTAAAAAAACTTTGAATTGCAATTACATTCATATAGTGTAGACCTGTGTAATTTCAAAAACTTACCAACACATTCTTTATCATATGCTTTGCACCACTACCTGAGCTGTAGCTCCTCCTTATACTGTAAACTGTCTGTTGGTTTTAAGTCATAGCTTGCCTGTAACTTCAGAAGCACCTTCCAGTTGGTTAGAGCTCTGGGATTCAGTGCTGTTCTTGAAGCACACTTGGCTCCCATGAACCTTCCCTATAAAAGCCACAGCATTACGCTACCCAGTCTGCTGCTCTTCCACCTGAAGGTATTTCACTAAGTACCATTATTCCAGACACTTGTAGATCAGTGAGATTTATTTATTTAAGCTGTCCAAATGGGTAAATTTTCATCACAACTATATTTGTTTTGGAGAGCTAGAGACTGTAGCAGTTCATTAAGTCTTCATACAGCTTTTGCACTTGAAGAGGCCCTTTGAATTTTCCGAGGCATTGGAAATTTCACCTTCCTGCTCGTCCAAACTATTTCAAAACTACAAATTAGAAGACTGCCAAGAAATCGTTCTGGTGGAAGCTGGCTACAAGTTCTTGGGCACCTGCTTCAAAATTCTCCCCGCCACACGGAAGTCAGAAGCACTTTCAGTGAGACTACTAGAAAAGTAATTCTGCAGGAAAAGGAAATCCAACAGCCAAACAGATCATATCTTCCATCAGCAGGAGTCACAGACTATTCACCTTTAAGACAGCTAAAGTAGTGCGTAAATAACCAGGTTCCAAGAGAGTGTTTCCTAGTTTTTCTTTTTAATGTATCACTACTTATCTATTCCTGCATGCAAAGGACACTCAAACCAATTCAAATTTACAAATTTAACAGAAGCACATTGCTGCACTAGCTTTAGGTTCATGTATCATTCTAAATAAGGAATGAAACTAAAACAGAAACATCAAAATGAAGAAGTGTCATAACTACGGTAGTACAGACCTTAATTGTGGGTTGTGGTTTTTTTTTTTGTAAGTCTTCCTTAAGACCAAAGGTTAAATCCACATACAGTACCACGTCTTGTAAGGCATGAAATCCAGAACTTGCCTAAATAGGTATTTTTCAAATGGAGTCTTCAATGGGACTGCATCTGCTCCTTGTTGCTGTGAGGTTAACATGTATCTTTACATTATACATGGGGAATATAGATCAATAAAGAACAAAATAACAAGTACAAGAGATTGTGTGTTCCCAGTTTTGATACTGTACAGCTGTGAAACCAGTGGACACCAGACTAAACACAATGATCAACATCTCTGATGTTTTAGCTCTATCAAACCAGACACTGAAACAGAAGTCTGCTTAGGTGCTGCTCCGACATCCCAAGTGAATTACTTTTAAGTCATACATCAAAAAGCCAGACTCCAGCTAAGACAGATACAACACCCAGGTCTCCCACAGTTGATATTTCCATTGCTGTACCATCATATTTACTTTTGATTTTTTTTACACACACCTTCCAAATAGTTCAGCAAATGAGGCAAGAAGATCTTCAAATATTTAGTCAGAGACTGAAGGCAAGAAGCCAAAGGGAAAAAAGTTTAATTAAAGACAACTATGTCCATGAAAATTAAGATTAACGTAGGCATTTCTAGAGCATTTTGACAGACTAATAAGGGGCTTTACTTATTGGAAAAGTGTGTGGTGGATAACCAGATACCATTTTTTCTGCTTTTCACAATGTAAGACATTGATCCTTGTCCCTTTTGGGCAAAGACAGACACCTTGTTCCGTTAACAGTTGGCAGAATACACACAATTCACGTTACTTTGGGGAACAAGAGGTACTAGTAATTCTTCACCTCCACGTTCCTACTACCATGACATGACTGAGCACAGCCTTACAACGTACAAACTGTATTTTGTTCCTGTCCCATACAGGACTCTGGTCAGTGGATGTAATACAAAGAGACCTCAAAAAGACTCTTCTGAAATATGCACCTGGCAAGAGGTGTACAATGCCCTTTTTAATTCAAAGTGCACATAGCTAAAGTACTAATACTTCTTTAATTTAAAAAAAAAAAAAAAGAAAAAGAAGGAAAAAAAAAACCAGTAAGAAAAGCTTTCTGCATCCTTTCCCTTGTCAACCTGCCAAAACTATGGATCAGGCTGTCTCCTTGAGGGCAGAGTACCATTACAGAAAGTTTTAAGCCCAACGAGTTATTGGTAATAGTCCAAAGCAAGCAAAAATGACTTGAACTGATTCTGCAACCCTAACAGCTGTTGATAATATTATAAAGCATACCTGTATACTGTGCATTTCTTCAAAAAGTTGTTTTGGCATACATTTTAATTACTGTTTACTGACCAGTGATTATGAACTTGTGCTGCTTTATTGACCAAGTTGGGTACAACAATTTAAGCATCATTCTATCCCCTCCCTCCCCCCTGAATCCAGTTGTAGATTTGTTAAGAGTTTAAAATTCACATTAACCACAAATTCATACAATCAACATCAGGCATTGTGTTAATTTGTTTGGAATAGACAACTCCATCATCTCCCTTCTTAGAACATGCAGGGAGAGTCACCTTTACATTGCAAGTCTCACTGGATCCATTGCTGGACCTTCTGCCATCCCTTTTAAAGCAAGTCTTTTGTCTAATCATGTATGTCCTAGAGCATGGGCTGTACGGCCAGTTGCAGTGCACCACCGAGTTAAACCCCCAAATAAAATTCAAAGAGAAGCCGCAGTGTTAACACTGTACAACAGGGCTGCCACTGCGTGCCCTCCCACAGGGGGCACAGTACTGGCCCTGTATCTGTCCAGCAGTACACGCCAGCCTCGACTAGACTAAAGGAAGCTGCACGACCTTTTACCGGCTGTCGGCAAAAGTGCACGAGTAGCTTTACCGAGACCAGGGAAAACTGCAGCATAGTACAAAACGTATGAAAGTGTTAACATTCCATATTGAGGAGAAATTGCATTAATTTTAAAACAAGGGTCTAGAGATTACTGTTGCCTCCAGAGTCTGTTGTCTGATTTAGTCATTTAAGAAATAATTACATCACTAATGTAAACAATATAAACATACCAAAACCTAAGTATGATTTAAATACATTTTGATGGTACAAAAGAAAAACCTGAAGGTGTCTGTACAGTTTTTACAATGTGGGAATTGCCAATGTATTTACAACACGAAAGGGCAAATACCATTTTTGTGCAGAGTATAATTATCTGAAATAATGTCAATATAAAAACCAATATCTAGCGGTGTGAGGCACTCCTAAACATGGTGGTATTAACCATGCTTTCCTTTGGTACAAGTCCCATCGCTTGGAGAGCCGCAGTTGCTGCTGTGGCTTTAGCATGCTTCTTATTAAGGCTGGCAAAAGTAGGCCTATATTCATTTCCATTGACTCTCACCTGTTTACAAAATAAGGGGAGGAAAAAAGAAAGTGTTAGAAACTGCCTCTTCAGTTGTTTCAATACAGTGCTACATAGCTCCTTTAAGTACATTCTCTACATAATTCCTCTTTAGGGGTAGACAAAATCCACATCTGGTTTGTAAGTACAATCACTTCCAAATACAAGATATCACATGGAAAAGAAAGCCCACATCATAAGATAACCGAAAGACAAAAATAACTAAATCTCGCTCGCTACCTTTACAACAGCAAGACTTAATACCACATCCATAAGTAAACAGCAAGGATACGCTACCACGTAGCTTAATAATTTTAGGAAGAAGTGAAATAGTGTGTTTCTTGACGGATTTACAGATTAATGAGCTTGAGAGATCCGATTTGGCCTTTACAGAAACAAGACTTTGAAATTTTGGCATTGAGACACTGCCTAGCAGTCCTCAACCACCCCTGGAATACAGAAATACAAACATGAATTTAAATCAACTTTTAATAGAGAAACAAACAGCAAACAAGGAAACTCAAACACACCTTAAAGATAAAATGTTTGCGATGATCAGGCCCACTATCATCAACCAACACAAATTCAGGTGGTGTCCATCTTCTTTTGTTACAGATCTCCATCAACGCAGAAACTGGATGCTTACCTTAAAGATAAAATGTATTTGAAATTTCAATGCTGCTATCAAAGCAATCATTTTAAATGAGATTATTTTAGACAAGAATCTCACCTGAAAGATCCTTCATCACAACATAATGTCCAGATCTCTTCTGTGCCTTCTCTCCCACAGCAACAAGTCCTAAACAAAACACATTAAAGTTTACATTTATGATTCCCACCTGATTTCTGTATTGTCATCGGTAAAATAATGACATGTCAGTGGAGATGAACCCTGGTAACACCATACAACTGCCTTTTCATAAGTCTTTCAAACCTCCTTTTCATCCAGCAATTTTTCCCCCTCCATACTACACATAACATTCTTCTCAACTGCTCTAGTAAGACTTTTAACAAGCTGGGTAGTAGAAAAATTTGAATAATCTTATGCAAGTCAGGAAACACCTGGTTTTCCATGCCCTCTTTGGAGAAACACTGAACAAGAGAGAAACTTGAAAACATCCTCTCATTCAGTATTTGTTTTGTGCAACCCAAAAGTTATCCACCATCTTAACAGTCTGCCTCTAACACACTAAGCATTTGAAGTATTTCCACTGAAGAGTAAAAATGTACCTAGTATGTCCTTTTATGATACAAATAACACAGTAGTGTTCTTATAACATGTGCTCTCTTTAGTTAATGGTATTCAAATATTTACCCTTTATGTGCAAGTTCATAGCCCAATTACCATGATCTCAAGCACAGCTGAATATAGACTAGACAACTGGGCTCCCAGTCAATGCAAAGAGCACTAGCTCCATCAGAAGGCACTGTGAAACACAGAAGCTGAACATTTTTCTTTTTAAAACCTTACAAGAGTAAGAAATAAAATGTGACAATTGCCAAAAATGTATCAAACGCCAGTAACCAGGCCATGCTTATGAAGTGACTCAAGTTTCTTTCAAATCATTTTGCCATTACCTTAAATACACATAAAGAAAATACCTGACCAGTTTTTCAGAATTACTCAGCCTTCAATCCTTCAATAGTACTTTGTTTCTTACCTCAATTTGTTTCTGTGAATAAAGACAGGGAGATACTGCAATTGTTTCCGGTTTCTTCCTGTTCTTTCATCTTTTTTCAGTTGTCCTTCTATTTAATTTTGCTTTAAAAGAAAATCCTTCCTTCCTTACCAGATTTTCATCCTAATATTCACACAGCTCCTAGGTAGGGACTTTTCAAGTGGCATAAAACCCTCATAGATAACAATCACCGAAATAAAGTTTTGGTGTTTTTTTTTTTGTTTGTTTTGGTTTTTTTTTGTTCCTTACAGAGTTTTCTTTCCAAAATAACCAAAGATTTCCCAAAGATTTCCACCAAAGGAAAAAACTCTTCTGTCATTCTCTGCGTTAATGCCATGCCTCCCTCACTCTAAGCCACTGACACTTGTCTTCCAGATCTAGTCCCTGGTACCTCAAGAAGGATTTTCAGAAAAGCTGCAACAGACTCCAACAAACTCTGTTTGTCACTGAGCTGAGGGACCACGCTTCTTTGAACACAGACAACCAACAGTTTACTGGCTAACAGTAAAGCTCAAGAAGGGTTCAGTGTCAATGCTGTCTGTGAGAGAACTACAGATCTCACTCCGCATCTGGAAAAAATAGGGTCTAAGGGAAAGCTACGGCAAAGGCAGACAACCTTTTGGTCCACATCTTATTGCAGCCTACTGAGCAACTCCTTAGCAAACTGCTTGTTCCTGTATCTAGGAATTGTACTTTATCTGGGGGATAAGTTCTAAAAATGTGTTTAAAAACCCCTACAAAACAAAAACAGGTTACCTACTTAAAGAAAAACTCCTTTTAAACATTTCAGACTTTCTTTAAACTTCTACACAGAATTTTAATTATTTTTTATACATTTAAGCATCAAAGAACACCTATGTTTGAAGAAACTTTTCAGCTATTAGTCATAAATGCATAATCAGTGTTCAGTTGCTTCTTTGTAATACGTGAAACATCCTGCTTCTTTGTAATGCAAGGTGTCTCCCCATATTATAGACTTGATTGGCTCAACATTAAAAAGTATTCTTTATCAACACAGAACACCTTTGGATTTTTTGAGGAAATTATCAGATATGATTGGGTAGATTATAATAATCAAATATTTAAAACTATGAAATTAAAGCTATCACTAAGGCCATCACTCTGGTTATCAGTATTTTCAGATTAATCTATCACATGCCAGGAAAAAGTATCCTTTAACTGCATCTAACATTTTTAATTGTTATTGAAGACCGAGCGTTCTGAAGCAGAGAGCGCATGCTGTCTGTTACGGAATGCCCAGCACAATGAGGACCTGATCCCGTCTCAAGCCTTCAGGCTTGCTCCTTGAAACTTCAGTATCAAATTCTGCAGGCATTAAGGAAATTTGTGTCAGGAAAGACATGAGGACCTGGGGCACACTTCTAGAACTGGAAACTTGAGCTGTGACACATCTGTGTATCACCCAAATGTTTTTAATGTTCAGAATATTCACAGGTTGTGCAGCAATACTGCCTCTTCCCTGTGATGTGACAAGAAGCAACCAACATAGTGAACAGAGCTAACTCTTCCCTCCTCACCACAAAAATCCATCACTATGTCATTATGCAGGCTGCTTGAGAAAATTATACTGAAACTGACTGTTTTCAATTTCTTCCCTCTGACTGATATTAATCAAGCTGAACTGAAGGAATTCTTACCAGCATTGAGACCTTTACAAGTCAGGATGTACAAAAATCACAGTAACTAAGTAACAGTAACAAAATATTTTTCAAAGACTTGCTTGGCAATCACTCTGTCACCAGGTATCTTTTTTTTTTCTCCTTTAAACAGAAAGGTTGCACAGAAGAAAAACAGATGAAAAGCAAGTTTGGTCACTATTCGTATAAAACTAAGATGTCTATATTATTGTTTTCTGTACTTTGAGACTGTTGCACTTGTCTATTTATAAAACTGTATTATGTTGCTAGAAGGTCTATAGAATTTAGAAAGCAATGGATATTTTAATAACATATGCTTTCCTTCTCATTTTCTACCTCTTTGCACTTAATATTTAAACGTTTAAATTGCATTTTCACTGCTACCATGGTCACCTGAGCAGTACTGAACCATCCCTGAATTAAGAACTAGCAATTTTGACTCCTCCTCCAACAGCATCTCTGCAAATGAACTTCACAATAATTGCATTTATATGCTTTGATTTCTTCCAAGCTCAATTGTGAGCATTGAAAAAAGCTAACACAACCCCGTAACTCACAGCATTTTCATGCTTTAATATTAAATGTGATCTATGTAATGTATTAAAGGTTCCCAGTTTAAAAAAAAATACATTTAGGAGAACAACAGTTAAGAATTTGACCATGCTGCCAGCTTAAGGAGCAGCACAATGCCTGTAATTAGAAGGATAGTACTTTTGAATCAAATGACACAAGTGCAACAGTTCTCCACCTGTGTCCATGGACTATATAAAGAAGAGGAGGAAAGACTGCTAAAGCAATCTTTGGAAACAATCAGGGAAGCATCACTGCAGCTGAGGAGAAGTGCATGCAGCAGGATCAAACTAGGAGATAAAACAGCAGGGAGATCAGACCTAAAAACATCAGTATGACAGTCTGTTCACGTCAGGACTTCAGCTGAAAGGTAGCAGTAACTCAGCCCTGTAGCTCTCATCTCTGTCCTGCATCCCAGTTTAAAAACTGCTCACACTATTCAATCTTCTACCCTGCCCTGTTCCTGCTTCAGCCACTTTCTCTAGACCAACCACAATGGCTTTTACACAATTCATTTCCCCCTCCATGCCTTCTCCATACATCCAACTGAAGCACATCCCTAATTTAAGAATCACCGAGAAGCACTTTTTTAAATGGGAGGAGAAGGTCAGGGAAAGTTAAAGAATGTCTGGAAGAGTTCACAGGCATAAGGACAAAGCCTGCATACATAATCCAGGGCTTGAAAAACTAGTACCAACATAATTTACATCATTCTGATCATTTTTACAGTGAAGCTGTACCCAGAAAAGCTCACTACTTCAAAGTTATTTTGCCTATCTCCAAAACAGACATGAGAAATTTATACTGCCGAAAGCCACTTAAGGATGGGCTTACCTTTTCGATCTGTCTTAAAATCAACCATAATAGGCTCAACGCTGCCTTCTTTGTTTTTTCCAAGCCCTTCTCCTTCTCTCCAGCCCATTTTTCTCATCAGCTGAGCTCCCATTCCTCCAGTTACAGGGGCTGCTCTTAAGAACTGATCCTATCCAGAAAAAGAGAAGTAAAACAAGTCCTGAAGTTAGCACTGAGATTTTAGGAAGTAAGTGGGAGCTTCCAAAAAATGCTTCTAACAACCTTTCACAGACTCAATTAAAAAAAAATACACCTCAGCTTTGTATACATTAACATTTTGTAGAAACCAGAATTCACGCAGACACGAGACACAAATCAATATTTTCAAAAAAGAACAACTTAAGAAAATTCTAATGCAATCCAAAAGTGGCAAGTGACCCATTTCAGACATATGTATTTAATAAAATCATAACCGTCCATTTTTAAACACGCTACTTTGGTTCCAATGCATCTCTTCTCATCTTGTGAAAGGAGGCAGTGTTAACTGTTTAACTGGCAACGTGCGTGCCAAGTGTACCTAGTTATTGAACAAAATACAAGCACATTTAGTAATGACATTCACATAGTGTTTAGGCGTATTTTAAATATATATTAAAAAATCCCCATTTTATTATACAGCAGTTGCACATTCAAGTTCTACTCTGAAATTCCACATGAAACATACAGGTTTTTCTTTTGTTTTCTTTTTTTAAAGGAAAAAAAGGCGCTTAGCCACACAGTTTAGCAGCAGTAGTCTTCACATTTTTTCACATCATCATTAACATAATAGTTGTTAAACGGTGAAAGCTTATAAACAGAAATTTTAAAAATCTGTTTTGATGTAAAGAACTTTAAAAACTCCTTAAATGTTTACGTACCTAGGCCTCGATGGCCGCAGTGTTGTGAATAGTAGGGCTGGCATTGACCGTGGCAAGAAGGCAGCTACAAGGATTTGACCCTGAAACAAGTTTCCATATAGAGGGGTGAAAGTTCACAGGTTATTCTGTGAACTATCATCTCTCTTCTGCCCCCCCCGCTGACCCAAGTAAGTAAGTCAATCATTTCCATCACAGCAAAAAATTGCTTGCCTTAAAATATACAAAGTTACACACTGACACTGATAAGTCCACCAGTTATTTCGCACAGTTAGATGATATAATCCCTAGTATTTTTGTGAAAATTTTACTTACTATCAAAGCAAATTAATAGAACTTTTTTTTTTCTTTAGAGTTGTGCTTGCAAAAGTAAGCATTTCACAGATTTGGACAAAAGACTGATAGGTACTTGGTTTTGATTTGTATGTAAACAAAACCAGAAGTCTTACTTTTGCAGAGACTAAGAATATATTTTTAAGGGGTTTTCAAACTGGCAAGTGACACACACTAATGATGCACGTGTGTGTGTGTAATCCCCACTATACATGGTGTTAAAAAAAAATTGTAAAAAAAATAATTGCGGAAGGTTGTGGCAGGACTTCTCCAAATATTTACCTAATATAGAGTAAATACCTATCAATCATGCAACTGGATGCTGCATTTAATAACAAAGTGCTCTGATGGAAGAGTAGAGAGGCTAAGTGCACCTCTCCAGTTCAACTTTTTTCTGATTGGTGCAGACCATGCAGTGTGTGTGTGTACACAGAGACAATCAGTTTCTTCTATACGAACTGCCTTGATTTATACACCTAGAATGGCTTTTACTTACTTCCATTTTCATTCTCCCTCTCTTTTCCAGGAACCTCTCATAAGAAAAGGGCAACCATGCTGAGAATGATACAAACCCCAGTCAATGTCACCCTGGGTTCCGATTCCTCTTTTGTACCTGCTTTGCAATAATAGAATTTTCAATATAAACACCTGTTTCATTATCACTAGCATGTGTTCAGTTCACAAATGACAGAGCGCAATTTCTGGATGAGGTCATTTTAATGCTACGCAGCTTTCCCACCACACCTGTAAATGTACTAACCTGGGGGTTAGGACTGGTGTAGAAAGGAGAGAACAGAAGCAAAATATTGCTATTCATACTTAAAACGTCAAAGCCATATTGCTATTTATAGTTAAAAAATCATAGCCCCAAGTTTGTATATAGGAATGACTAGAGCCTGAACTAATTCCAAATACCGGAAATAAAAAGAGTTCTAAATTCTAAAAGTGCAGTTTATTAAAAAAACCTTTTCTCATGTGTGAATTCAGAATCTTCCCTGATAACTTCAGTTGGAATTTTTAACACTATGCTGACTCTTAAATCATATACAACAGAACCAAGACAAGAAGGAATTAGAAAAGTTTAGTTTCATTACAGAATAGCTGTACTTGTGCATCGTGCTAAAAGGCTAAATTAAGTTATTCTGGTACCAATACGAAAGGCACCAGGAGAACCTACTTTGATTCCACTTACTGAAAAAGCAAAGAAGGCCGGCAGCAGGGGAAAAAAGTTATTTCAGTTTTGTTTTGGTTTGTGTCTTGTTTTGGGGTTTTTTTTAATAATAAACTGAATATAAGTCTCTAATGTCACCAGTACAATTATATTCTCTTTAACAATTTTTTCATAATTTAACAACAGACTACTTCACTCAGCCCATGATTTAATAGAGTATGGGTAAAAAATTGTGCTGTGTTTATAACTGCATTTGAAAATGTAAAAGTAGTAGAAACACTAACAAGAGCAGGGAAGTTAAGACATATATTTTGTCTCAGTTTTAAAAAATCATAAAAGACCAACTCTCACAAACCTATTTAGCAGCTATGTACCTCTGCAGATCTGGCCCATAAGGAGGATATCAGTTTGAAGAGAATGTAATACAATAAATCCCCAGGTTTCTAAGTATTTGGTTACTGCTGTCAGAATTACCTAATTACTTACAAAATAATTGTTCTCTTTCATTCACTAATCCCAATTTGAGTAAGTCCATATGAAAATTTAGTATAGTTTTTTTCATCTGTTGATCTCTAAATTCCAGGAAAGGTCAGCCAAATAAAGCACACTTCCATTCTGCCAGCAGATGGAGATAACTAATAAGCCATATTCTTGTGTCAACACTTTTTCTTTAAAAAAGAAGGCTACATAGTAAAACCTGATTACTTAAGAGGGGTTTTTTTTAGTAATTTTAATTAATACTATTCCTCTTTTAAAGCTATGTTGGGACAACAAATTTTGGGGGACAGGAAGGCCTGAATTAGCACTTAAGGGCTTAAACAATCAAGCATTAAAAAAAATCACATCTGAAAGATGATGTTACAGGTTTTTTGCTGAAACACAAATTTGACAGTCATCATTGTTTAACTGCAACAGCTGTCTTTGGGAAAAGGATCACACACAGCATTGAACTGAACAATCTATAAAACAACACCTGCAACATCCAAAATATTAAAGCCAGAATTATTTGAGAGATCTTAAAACACATCATCAATTTCTGCTCTGAAAATAAAATACCTATTCGTTCTCACAAGGCTGACATGGCACAAAAACATGTTTTGTCAGAACTAAGGTTTATTTATTTTCATCAATAATTTATTAAGCAAAAGACAACAAATCTTTAAAAGGCGCTAGGTGGCCAGTTTCAGCTACAGTACAATGGGCTGTCTTAAAAGATTAATTTACGAGTAACTGAAGAATTTCTCTGAGTGAACAAGCATCTATCTTTGGCAAAACTTTTGCAAAGTAGCTGAGTTTTCCATTAAATAAACTGGCACTTCTAGCAGCAGCCACATTCTTTCCCCAATACAGGAAGAAGAATACCCTTCTAAAGAATCCCATTAAATGTCTTACAAAAACCTATGTTCACAATCAACGTTAGGATTTCTATTGGCAGCTTTTGCATACAACCAGTAGAAAGCAAGCCAAGTATAGCTGGGGAAAAAAAACCAATACATTTTCAGGACTGAACAGGGAGCCAGTCCAATATAACTAACATATAGTTTATTTGCCTTGCTATGTAGCCTTCATTTCCAGGGAAAGCTCGTTGTGTCACATAAGGCAACAGGAATACAAGTATTACGGTAAGTGGCCTTGTTAGAAGATCAACAGTCCTTGTGCAAGTGACATCACAAGACTTAGTTTTACCTCCACTGTTAGTGTGAGTTTTACTCTGCTATGACTGTTGAAGAATAGAAGTAATGCTTTAACTTTTGATAACTTGCTACACAAAGCAGAGCATTCTAACAGCCATAGTAAAACTGTGTGTCATGCTTTAGCACAACTGAATGAAAGAGATTCCAAGACCCTGTGTGCATAAAACACTGCAGAAACCTTGTTTTGGAGAACAAGTTTAGGCTATAGAATTCAGCTGCTAAATCCAGAAACAGGTGGTGAGTCTGGGAAAGTCTAAGTACAGCTCAACAGAATCCGCTTGGAAAAAAATATTTGACCACTTCCTCTGATTTGACATTTATTCAGCAGCATGGTGTATTTGTAAGAAAAAAAGGAAAGAAAAAAAAAAGTAACCTCCAGTAAGTCATATTTGTGAACTGATTACACCAATGGTGATAAACTGAAACAGAAACCACTTTTCAAGAAGATAATATTGTTCATAAATCCATTTTATGATATAAGAAATCTAACATTATTCCTTTATGAATACTGCTCAGAACCCCATGTATGAACATAATGACATAATGATTAAAAAAATTAACCATTATTTCTAATTGGTATGTCAACCATTCAAGTACACCATGTTAATCACTTCAGTAACTAATTCCCTCAAAACTTAAGACAAAATTGAAACTGCAGGCATTATTTTGGTTTGAGTACATATTACCTCTCCAGAGTCATCTTTTAAGTACAAAAAAAAGCTAAAATCCAAGAAATGCAAAGTGAAGACAGTGCTTATTAAACAAGTTCCCCAAGCACTTTAATTTTTTTTGTACCTCCTGACACCACTCTTCTGTTTTGTTACAGCTATCTAGTGTTGTGATTATCTGTCAAACACAATGTCTGTACATCTTCTAACTCGAATTTGTGTAATGATACACAAATAACTAGCTGACATGGGCTCTGTTTCTTCTAAACAGCGCACATCCACAAGTCCTCTTATGGCAACTGCTTACGACAATCTCCCAAGCAAAATGCCTTCAGTAAAAGAACATCTTCAGTCAGAAATGTGCATTAATTTACACACACAAAATAGCCCAAGAAACTCCACAGCCCTTCTAGAAGATGAAAAATTAAATAATACTAGGTTTTTTTGAATGTTAAAAATAGTTTTCTTACGACAAAAAAGGGAGTACAAGGCTGACTTCTCAGTGTCACATTACACGATTAACAGGAAGTTACACAACTTCAAGCGCCTAAGTAAAATACAACCTGTACTTTGCATTTCATGGTTGGTTTGCATTCATGTCACTGAGAAAGATAACATGCATTCATAACCCATTATCCCTACTTCAATCTTTTCTGTGAAATCATTCCTTAACCACAGGATGTGACTCCACATTAAGTTCATCAAACTTAAGTTTTGTGAAGGCTTTCACAGGCCTCGCCATTCCTAAAATAAACAGGGCAAGTCTTGTGTAGACCCTAATGCATTTTATAGAAGGCGCATGACTGTAACTACTTATCATGAGTTTGATGGCAATGTGTGTGCGAATATGGAACCTGAAAAGAGCAAAAGAAGTCAAGCTGAGGAATGCCAGAGCAGGAAAGAGGACTGCCTCCTCATCTTCTTCACCCAAAAACTCTTCTTGTTTCCAGTAGTAGCCTCCTTTCTGACAAACCACATAATGTTTGCTAGGGAGGACGCCTACTACTGTAAACTGCTGCATTTTTACAGTTACGGGAAGGACAAAAGTGCTTTTGCCGGCTCACTCTTATTTCTAGTTTCAACAAATTGTTCCAATATGCTTCTGCTCCTCACAGCAGTCATGTCCACAAGCCAGAGAGCAGATTCTTCTCTCTTTTTGTCCCTATAAAATGTTTTGTTGGTTTTTTGTTGTTTTGCCTTTTTTTTTTTTTAAAGCAGATCAACGAGTGACATTAGAAGACCAAGGGAGAACACACTTGCCTTCTCCACTTAATTTTTGTTAGCAGACACTCCTGTTACTGTAGAGCACGGAAGACCACCAAAGAACTTCAAGGAATGAAAATGGGATGGATGAGAAGAGGAGGCTTGGGAAAGAGAAGATCAGAAATGCTCTCTTTCTGTTGCCTTGGGAACCCACTCAAGTTATTGCAGAGGCTTGCTGATCTCTTTCATAAGGCTCATGGTGGAAAAGCTCTCCTTTTCTCACCAATACACCCCTTGTCAGTGCTTTATATTTCTAAGTTCTTCTGCCAGGGACGATTATTGTAATCATCAAAGCCAATATTTTGTTACAATCTCAGAAGTTAATAGTTGTTAAAATAGACTTTATCATGTATGCTCTGTATTAATACTGAGAAGAGCTTAAAAGATTCCCATCTAGCAAATAACTTGGATGTCTGCATTGCCTGGCTCTCTGTATTGCTTGGCTATATGAAGTGGAAAAACAAGTTGGTGAATCTTGGAAAATATTTCTATTTTTAGGATGTTATAATTCTAGACTTTTGCGTTCAGTTTACACCAAGTTTTATGGAAAATTCTGCCTAAGCCCAAAACTAACCTACTAGTTTTGAGAGTTGTCTTAACACTGCTTTCTGGAAGGATAAGCAGTTACAGCATACACTCAATTACATTCCTTTCAAGATTGACCGCCATAACTCATTGTTCTTTTTGCCTGAAAGGTGGATATTGCTTGAATTCCTTAGTTCTACTTCTTGAAACAGAAACCAGTTCAGTATTCATTTTCAAAGATGAAGCATGAATCATTAAACTTATAAAACGCATGTATGACGCACCACACCCCAAAAATAAGGCAGTATTACTCTGCAGCAATAGGTAACTATTTCACTGTAGGATGACATTAAACTTAATAACCCAACTGCAGCTCCTGGTTTAATACTCCAAATCTTTGGCTCCCAGAAAACCCTGCTGATACAAACAGAGGCAAAATAGCAATCAGACAGAACCAAGGCAAACAAAATAGCAGTTTGGGACTTGGTTCACTGAAGCTGATGCTAAAACCTCACTGACTTCAATACCATCAGGATCAAACCTTGCCTGATCTGACCCAATCCTGTAAAAGTAGTGATGGACCTACCACTGCAACCATACCAATACCATGAATGTAATTTCAGTGTAACAGAATCTATGAACCAATTTGACTCAAACACCAGACGCACACCTTATTGCAGTACTCTATGTCATGAGCAATACCTTAATGCACAACAAAATGGACACAGCAGCAGCAAGTATCTAAATTGATCGAAGACGATTATTTAACTCAACCTGTTGTATTTGACACATGCATTACCATAGGTTTTTAAAGGCACATATTTTGCCTTTTCCAATACTTCCACTGCTATTTAAAATGTGATAGTTAGACAAGTATGTTTGCATAACTTCTACCTTTCTAATCCATGCTTGGGGACCACTGTTGGTCAGCTCATCTGAGGACAGTATCTGTGCTCCAGTACTTCCTGTGAACTGGCCAGGTATGGAGTTTGATTGAGCCCAGGCATCAATCTACAAAATAAAAATCGAATGTAAGACCAAAATAAAAAATTGCATTTTCCTTTGCAATTATCTGTTGCTTCTCAATAGTTTTCCCAATGATTCCTCACTTATGTTTAGTGCTGTGTTCATTAACACTCATTTGTAAGCAGACGCTCCAAAAAGCTGAGTGTCTTTGTATGTTAACCCTGAAGCTCAAGCTCAAAGTCTAGCAAAAGTTCATGGTTCATAGTTAAGGTAAACATTTACTTTCTTTAAGTTCATCAAAATGCTGATGAATAAGTGCAACATACCTGTTCCTGTGCACGATTTAACATGCACATGGCCTCTAAATCAAATGAGTTTTCATTAAGCCTTTTCTGAGCCATTGCTCGATCATTCATAGCTGCAGTTATGTCCACGCCCTAGGAAGAAAAAGATAATTTTTAAAAATACATCAGACCACAGTAATATCCATTTAATCTGGAAAAAGCTGTTGTAGAATAAATGCTACAAATAATACAAAGTTGTTTTACACACTGAATAGTTGGTTTAATACAGAAATGGGCAACATGAAAAAAATCCTGGGACTACTTGTGAAGTATATACAATATGGGCTTTCCCAAACAAATACAAAATCTTAAGTTAAAGTATAACACCCTGATAATTTAATATCACCTATGCATACAAAATATCAGAAATAATTATTTTCAGATAACTATTTTGGTCACAAAAATCCCTGGTGTATAATACTTAAATAGAGATGCATATTATTGTTCAACTGAATGTTATTACAATAGAATTAAATGTAATTTAGTTACAAATTAAAAAAAAAAAAAAAGCCTTCATACAGACCTGTTCATATAAGCACTCTACTATTAAGTCACACTAAAACTTCAAGTCATATGTATAAAAAATTAGAACAAGAATCACATGTATTCCATGAACTTGACTTAGGTGTTTTAATCTTCAGCCTAAAACAGACTGGCATACTAGTAAGACCAGACTAGTAGGTCATGAAATGGACTGTTTTGGAAAAGATTATTTAGATTTGTGCTGCTGAACTAGAACAGAATTTAAAGAAAAATAAATCTGAACCTATCTCACACATACTAAACAGAATCATCTGGGTAAAAATATGGAGCAAATGAAGAATCTTAATGCAAACCTCTACGTGCAAAGCAATCGAGAGCAACACAAAACATCTGTGGATGTAAAGATGTAATAAATTATGGCTGGTATACAGCTCTCTTGTAAAATTATTTGTGCCTTGTTCTTCAGATTATATTTTATGGATCATTCTATTTCGAAAGGAGAAAAAGAACAGCGCTCACTCAGAGACAAGTGAAATTTCTCTGAGATGAGCATATGAAGGAGACTGAAAGGGCTAGTACTGTTTGAAGCACTGAAGAAACCAAATTATCAAAACAGCAGGTGGCATATAGACATAAAGTCAATGGTTTGATTTTTTTTAAACACTTATATTACCAAAGACTTGTATCGTTTGTTAGTCACTATCTCATAACCTTAGCCACTCACACATTATACGAGAATAAAAGGCCAGTAGAAGAAACTGAAACTAGTCTAAAATTGACTCTGCTGAACAGAAAAATACAGTTAATCCACAAAACCCATCAGAGGAACCAGGTCAATAATTTAGTAAATACTGAAAAACCGTAGGAGACAGACACAAATGCCTACAATTGCATAAAATGGAGTTATTTTTGTACTCGGGCTATTAAATCTTATTTTAAGATGGGGGATTTTTTTTACTGTTTAGACATTTTTGTATTTGTATTTCCCTTGGGAAGATCATTATTGAAACATCTGGCACTGACCAAGACAGACTTAAAATCCCAGAAGTCCTATGTGTCTATGAAACTGACTTCAGTGTTTATTTACTGTCCCAGCTGACAACAACACAGATCATAAACAAGGCATAAGAAGAAAAAATTAAAATTAAATTAAAAGATTTTTCTAGCAATTACCTAACATGAAAGCCACATATGTAAAACAATGCCTGTTTACAATATACACTTTATTGTGTTAATAAGTTCCTCTTATATAGTTAAGTAATTCTTTCATGTTTTGTTTGTGAAACTGGTTCAGGAGATAAATAAAAGTTATTTTACTCACCAAAAGCTTCAATCCAGCAATACACATAGGCATGCAAGTAGTCCACTGAAACCACATTGGGACCACTCACATACTTAAACATACATGTGTACTTTAGTGCTTTACCGGACTGGGGCCTATTAGTAGATACCCTGGTTAGTTAGAATTCCCATACACTTTCCCCACATGGTCAGTCACCATTTTGGAGACCATCATGGCTTTGTATTATGTCAAGACACTCGATGGCAGCTTTGGATCTTGAAAAAAAAAATCTCTGCTTGAAGTATGAAAAGTTGTTATTATTTAGTCAAGAAAAACAGTTTCAAGTTCAGCATGCTATTCTCCGTAAGAGTTCTGCCTTTCCGATCCTGACTTTTAACAGCATTTTCCCACAGACACAAATCACAAGTATTGAAGCACGAAGGAAGAGGCTGACAATAGAAAGCAGGCATTTTTGACATACTTTGTAGGTCCACTGATACACCAAATGCATTTGCTACATTTTTAAATCACAACAGTTTCCCTGCATAAGTCAACAGTGTACACTCCAAACTTAAAATACAACCCTTCAACTCTATACTTTCAGACTTTCCAAGTATAGCTTTCTCATAGGTTTCCCTGGCTTCTAGAGATGTGTTCATGCTTCAGATTACTCATGACTTTTTCCTCCATCTCCTACTACCACAACTATATTAAGAGCATAATGTTTTGTTAAAACAATTCATAATACATCAGCAGGGCCATTTCAGACTGCTTATTCCCGTAACTAATTCTGTGACTTGAATAAAAACACAACAATAAAACCAATTACGTATTTTTTAATGTCATATAGACTTGCATCAGAATTGTCACAATCAGATTTTCAAAATTAGCAACAATGAACGGAAGTAAATTATATGTCAAACAAACTTCCTGAGGATCCAAGCACACTCCCCCACTACCCTACTCCAACACCAAGGGAGCTTATCTGGCTAATTTTGCTCAAAGAATGCCATGTCATCCAGAGTCCTCACAAGCATTTAAAAAATTAAGCAGAGAAGCACTCTGTTACCTTTCAGACTCCCTGGAGAAACATACAGGCATTCTGCTACAGCAAGAGTATTCCTGTATCTCAAAATCAGGGATTGCTCAACCCAAGAGGATGGTATGCTCTGTTGTCAGCTAATGACCCTTGAAATCACCCTTAACACAAACCAAGTTAAGGTAAATGCAAATAAAAATATTTATTTACAAAATATAAAAACAGGTAACATTGTTACAAGCATTTATAAAGATACATGTGACAGAAGGGAAAGTCATGTTCAACATATTTACTCCAATGTCCATTTTTAAGGCCTCTTCTACATGATCAATATACAAACCATCAGTGTGTAGCTAACCCAATTTGTCAAAGACAAATGCCTAGCGTCATTGTCAACCGGGATGCAGACAACTACGGAGCTCGCCTGAACTTTGAGCATATCATTAACCATTTGAAGGACAAGACCTTTTACCATCTGGCCAAATGTTAGTATACAATGTTTCTATGCTCTGGACTCTCTACATATACACTAGTAGCTAAGAATGACATGGAGCACAAACACTTCAGAATGTTTGTCTTATTAGTGGTTCATGACAAAGACCAAACAGCAGTTACTATCTACACTGACAGAACAATGAATTGGGTGCCTGACGATCAAAGTCTGAGGTATACTGTGAAAATGTCTGTTGAATGAGTTATACTCACTATGCTTTTGGTGCTGTAAAAGACACAGAAAACACCTTCTGTGCTTCGAGAAGTGAGTTGTACAATCTTAAAAAGTTCTTGAAAAACAAAATGCACCAAGTGGAAAGGACTGTTTCATCAGAAATTGACGCCAAGTCTTTTTTATTTATTTGTTTTGAAAGGTATGAGAACAAGTCTTCAAATGGAGTGAGGCTAACATCAACTTGAAAAAAATTTACATCTGCTTTAAATATTTAATTTACTTAATTACAAAAACCCCACAAAATATCCTTTTGAAGACATTTCAAGGGGAAAAACATTTGCTTTTTTTTTTAGTTTATTATATATACAATTAGATTTTCCTTCAGAAGGCCACAGGGAAGACAGCTATGTAGGAAAATGTACTGTAAAGCTAAAAAATTAGTAGGTACATCCAGATGAAATGGCAGTTTTAGAAACTACTTTCAAACCTAATTTTAACAGATTACATTACAATACAATGTTATTGCTCCAAGATTGGAAGGGCAATTTTAATTATTATTAAATGTATAATCACAGAAGTCTCAACTTAGGGTATTAACCTCTGCAGGAAACTGGACAAGAAACTTGCTTTTCATGTTCAAGCAAAAGTTTAAATTCTTCTTGAGACGAAGAAGTCCACTAGATGACAAAAGCACAGAGTAAGGCTACAGGATGCTTTCATCATTGCCAATGTGAGCATGTCAACCAAATTTCAAGACCACTGCAGTTCATATAATTAGCTTATTGAAGTGTCAGATACTACCTATGTAAGCGTTTTTTTTTCACAGACTGCAATTTGATACCAGTCTGACCAGTTAACGGTTTTGGTTTCCTTATATGATATGCCTTCCTTCCCTTCCTTACCTCGATGGATGGTTTGGGGAAAACATCATCCTTGCTTTCTTCTTTGCCTTTTTCAACTGGAACCCATTCTCCATAGACACTATCTGCTTCTTTTTTCCTGTGTTGAGATCCAGATGAAACAGGAAATTCCTTTGACAGGCTGACCTGATTTTTTGGTTGTGGTGGTGGTGCTGGTTTTATGCTGGGAGTCTTAAAGAAATAAAATTGGAAAAAGTAAGAACTTTAAAACACACAACAACAACATGCCTTTGACAAATGACTTACTGCATACACTTCGCTATTAAGTTTTCATAAAACAGTCATACTTTTTACTAACATCAAACTGAAAGCCTTTGTAACAGATCATCTTAGGACAGCCCTAAAAACACGTGACCAACAAACTGCAGTATACAAGACAATAGAGCTAGAGGCTAAAGTCATTTAAATCACCTTCAGCAGCCAAAAATACACAAAATCTCACTCTCACAACTAACTTCCCTACTTTCTCTTCGCCCCATCATAAAGAGAACAGTCTTCATCTGCCACACATGTACTTTGTAACAGAAAGCTCCAAAATAAAAATCATGGGCAGCAAAAAACATTAGCTATGATATCCACATAATGATAAAAAGCTCTACATAGAGAAAGAAATTTTCAACATTTTGTTTTCTAGTTTTTGATTTTTTTTTAATAGCAGCATGAATCTCAAAGTAGATAAGTCTATGAGGTTGTTCTCCTTAGACATTAGACAGTAATGGTAATATATCAAGAGTTCACAGAGATCTCTGACAGGTTCCTCTTCCAAGAGGCAAACAGAGTCCAGACAGTTCACAATACTGGGCAAACTCGTACTATCAAAGGAACATGGACGGGAATGGTAGTAAGACTAGAATCCATAAAGAATGGGAAGAGTGATACTAAAAGGCTCAAAACTGTGGAAAACAGGCACAGCGGCCCATAACCCCTAAAGAACATTCCTCTTCTGAACCTGTAAGAATCCCAAGATTTCTTGAGTTTCATCATACCACTTTCTAAAGGTACAATATAAATTACAAATCTATTTCTACCTTACTTCTTATGTAACTATGTATTACTGTCTATGCCACAAGCTATATATATTTGTATATAAAAATATAAATGCTAATTATATTTTCACATAGCATATTAATACTTTTGTAGTACTTTTTATCCTGAAAAATCAGAGCAGACTGTCACGGGCACAAAAAACACCCTATAGATACAACTGTAAAAAACAAAAATATCCCCCCAAAAATAGACAAATTCTAATCCATGCTACAAAGCATATGAACCTTGGATGCTTTAAAGAAACATTCCCACATTATATTGCTTCCAACATGCTCATACCCACAAAGTGTCAATACGAGTCAAAAGCAGTCCACCCAAGGAGGGGGTTTTAATGGCACATTTAGACCCTCTTAGGCAACATCAGTGATCCTCACCCTTAACACAGCATTTACTTCCCTATTCGCTCATCTCAAAAGTAACCATTTTTTTCTCCTTTAGTTAACACCTGAGATCTGCTGAAGAAGCAGACATCTGAGATCTGGAGTCTGCACAAAGCTGATAGTATCATCTTATTTAAAATACCTCAAAATGCTTTTAGAATTTTGCTAGGGGTTTTTTGTCTGTCTTTTAAAGAAAAACAATGTTGTTCCAAAAGCATTTTCCAATTCCAATGCTGTTTGCAAATTCATACTGATATTTTTGCAATGAAAATGTGAAAAACTAATCCTCTTTAGGTTACTTAAGCTTTAAAAGCTGCGAAGACATTAATGAAAAAAAACTGTTTCAATCCAATTATGGGAACTACCACAATTTCCTAGACTGCAGTACATTTCTTATTGTAGCAAGAGTACTTTTAACAACATCCCAGTGCAATTTAACCAAGAATATCAATCCCTGATTAATTTCTGTAAAATTACTTGCATTATTTAAAAACAACAACAATTTAAAATATTGAAAATTAAAGAAGTACTCACACTTAAATTGAAGAAAATAGGTTTGGGTTCACTGAGCTTAAAAGGATGATTATAGAAAGGACGTTCTTCCTCCTCTTCATCAGAAACATGAGGTTTGTTCACTATCACATCATCTGTGCTTTGAGCAATCTTCTTGCATTTCTTAAAAAAAAAAAAGGGGGGGGGACATGACAGCTCTGAATAAACCTGGACTTTCAACCAAAACATACAAAAAGAATATTTTTACAGAAAAGTGTTTTTCTTTTCTAAAGAGGTATAAACTGATAAAATCTTTCAGCAATGTCATCACTATATGTATTTTTGACATTTTACACACATTACTAAACACCTACCTAGGTTTGCTAGGCACTCATGCAGCAAATAATTTCACAGACATAAGATTGCACCAGTACACTGTAAATCTTGCTACACAGTGCTAGCTGCAGAATGTGTGTCTAAGGCTGCAAACATTCTAGAGCAGGAACTCACTGGTTGTTTGGCATCCCATGTAACTAGCATATTGCAATCTTATAGAAACTCCAGTATAACTCACAAAGCTACTAGACAGGAAAACCTAAGAATTAATAGTTACTAACTGTAAGTTCCACTGATAGTGCAAGGACCTAGTCAGAAACAATTGCTCCAAAAGATCTCGGATTTCTTCTGAAATACTTTGATGTTGGCCAGGTACGCAAGACATTCCCATTTGATAAAAACATATAGGTGCTATGGGGATACTGCAGCCAAATGAGAAAAAACCTCCAGAAAAAGAAAAAAAAAACCAAGCAAGCAAACAAAAAAACCCCCACAACATTCTAGAGAGGCTAGAATTTTATTATTAAAATCCCTTTACTGATCATGTTTACCTGCACTGAGTGTTTACTGGTAGCAACTACTAACTTAGTCAGTCCAAAATGGATTTGAGAACATTATAGTCTAGTATCATGCTTCTATTATGTCCCCATTTATGAACAGTTACAAGACTTACAAGCTATTTGAGGACATGAAATAATACCAGCAAAGTGAAGCCATCATCTGATTTGAATATAGTTCAACTTCATACCATTGTAAGTCACAACTGTTTGATAACCTGACTGTTGGCATATAAGGATCAAACAGGCAGCTCCATCACTAAAAATCAAGACACATCGATGGCATTGTTCTCATCATTCCGCATTTAAAAAAAAAAAAATCACAAACAATTCCTGCACTCTCCTGTGTTTAGATGCCTTCAAACAATGACTGAAGTACATCCTTTAGGCAACAGGAAAAGCCTGCGCTATTTGGAAAAACAATCAACAAAATGTATTATCTATAGTTATTAGGTGGCTTCCAACTAATTGGAAGCACAGGTTACATTGCAGAAAGGAAAAACAGCACAGCTAGTTTTGCAGGAAGCTGAACAGGCTCTGGAAGGGTTCACTACTTGGGTACACTACTATATAATGATGGCCCAGGCTGGTTCTGTGGCCAAGTTTGATTCAACAGAACAGGGACATCGTCCAGCAGATTCTCACAGTTGAAAAGGGCAATGAAGGGGCAGGTTTTGGGCTTCTAGATTAGCACTAGCTACGCTGGATCCTGGTCATGTTACATGAAGAACTACTTCTGATGTCTGCACAGAGTACCTGCACAATCTCAGCTTTTCTACTAACAAATACTTCTTCCACTAGCTGACACGCAACTAAGACATTTTTTTCAGCTATCTGACATTGCTCAATTTCAGATGTTATTTCCATAAACAGATGTTTCAGAACTGTCACACTGATGATGCAATTTTTTTAAAAGCTTTTTTTTTCCCCCCAATTCAAATTTTCTCTAGTTTCTGGGGGAAAAAAATCATAAGAGGAAACCAGCAAATTGAACAAGGTGACATTATTACAGTAAAAGTATAAGTAGAAAATTTTTTCCCCACAATCAGAACAAAAACATCCCATCTGTAGACTTCAACTGCAAAGGGACAGAATTGCAACAATTCTCTAAAAATAACTTAAGAGTGCACATCAAAATGTACAGAACTATGTGAAGTGGGCACTAGATTTTTAACCCTGAGGTAACATTTAACAACATGAAATTCACTAACAAAAGTAAGAACGTAAATAACTAACAACACCATGACCAAGAACCAGAAGTGAAAGCTCTGTTTTTTATTAACAGGACTGCAAGGAGAACTACCAATTTATACAAAATTAGAACAGAATCAAAACAAACAAACAAAAGCTACAGAATTGTATTTCATGCATTTCCATGGAATTAAAAAGCCTGTTTTCATGACTTAAAAAAAAACAAACCAACTTATAGAGAATAAGGGCTCAAAACACAACCCAGCTTACATGTGGACCAAGCACACAGATTGACAGCTTGCCTAGAAGTCAGAAAAAAAACCCAACTTGCTTAGTTTCAGGTTTGATACTTTTCTCACCTCAGTGAGCTCCTTCAGCGACTCTCTTGATGACTTCTGATTGGCTTTGTCGTCCTTCTTTTGAGACAACAAAGGCATCAGGCTTGGTGGTAAGGGAACACCAGACTTAGCACACATGGCGGCTGCATTAGCTTTGGCTATTTCAAGTAGCTGGGCCTTGTCTAAAAAAAAATTTATTTTTTTTTAAAGAAAAATTATTATTTTTACAGATTCTTGTTTTAATAATAAATAAGCATTTCTCACAGACTAAATAATGGTCTAAGAGAAAAAACAATATTTTATTCACGGTGTGCATTTTTATGTTCTGTGACAATAACTAAAATTGTAATTAGTTGCTCCAAACTTTTAAAAATTTGCTCTACCCAACAAACAAGTGAAATCGCAAATTTAACATAAAGCACAGGAGTCCAAATTAGAGGACTCAAAATCCTCTAAACCCCAGAAGTTCTGATGCCTATTTTACATCACTGATTCATTCTAGTTTTGGAAATACTGGGTCATTTCTACACAGCATAAATTCCAAAGTCTACTTCCTAGCTATGTCTGAAAAGCATTCAAAGGTCTTGAGGAAGTCCCCTCAAGTACCACAATATGTAGCCTGAAAGCTACTAACAACCAATCAACAGAAAACAAAAGCGCTGAGTAAAACGTGCACTTGCATAAAATACAATTACACACAAAACTGCTAATAGAATAGTATTTCACTCTATTAAGGAAAAAAGCATGTGTGGCCCTATCACAGAAATAGGGAATGAAAATCAAGGACATCTGATCCACCAGTTTGCAAATAAATAAGTTACCACTATCTCTATACAAGCATATAGCTTTACAAAGTCCTAAACAGACAAGAAGTCTTTTACTTCTTAATCAATAGAAGTATATAGATACAGCCTTGCTGCACAATCAAAGCATGAAGGCAGATTCAAGGATGCTCATTAATTCTCACGTTCTGTACAAAAGTACTTATCTGGTACAAGGGCTTCCATGGTAACTTTATGAGAGAGGACTAAAAAGGATCAGAACCTCATGTCCACAAAAGCAGGCTTCCTTACACCCTACACAAGAGCTTAACTCTCAAAATTAAAACCTTTCTCGTTATGTAACAACTACCTAAGGAAACGACAAGGCCTCTCTTCCCTCCAGTCACAGAGAAAAGATGTAGTTCATCAGGATTTTTTCTTTAACTTTCCTATCAGCTGGGTCTGGGAATATTTTCAGAAATTAGTCTCCCTTCCCACTGAGTTCTTACCATGGGAAACAGGCAAGACAGAGTAATGGAAACAGATAAACAAGCACTGCAGCTGATGGCAAAGCTAAGAACTCTCCAAGTGGAACTTACTTTCAAACATTCTTTCATGCCCAATTTGTTCTCAGGAAAACTAGAAATTCGTAAGTTTCTTAAAGAGTACTTGGCCTTCACTAACCATTACAATGAACACTGTTACTCAGGACTGCAATATACTACCTTTGTACAAAAGCTCCATAATGAAGATATAACCTGCCCTAAATATGCTTTCATCCAAATTGTAAGCTCCAATACAGAAGTTCCTACTGGAAGTCACTGCCTAAGAGTAATGCACAAAATGACTTGCAAGAAATTCCTTATGAATGCTACAGAGAGATGTCAAAATAAAGACTATGTAAATTAACACAGTATCACCTAACCATAGAAATACTGAAAATAAAATTTTCACTTACCCAAGTCTGTAAGACGTTTAGGTGACCTGCTTGAAAATCGTTCTGATGACCTCGACCTACGACGGTCAGGTGATCTGCTGTATCTTCTTCTCCCTGAAGACCTTGATCGACGTAGTCGAATTGGTGACCTGCTAGAGCTCCGTCTTCTTCCTCTTGACCTTGATCGCCTTTGACGAATAGGTGTTCGACTCCTGCTCCGTAATCTGAGTGATATTCTACGATCTCTTGAATCTGATCTTCTTCTTCTTCTGTCAGTAGATCTTGATCTATTTCTCTGAGATCTCTTACGCCTGTCTCTTGATAAAGAACGCCGCCTTCTTGAGGCTGACCTTGACCTACTCCTCCTTCTGTGCCTTGAACGTGACAACGAGCTAGACCGAGAGCGACGATTAGATTTTGATCTTGACGCTCTTCTCCGTGTTACTGATCTGGAGCGGTTCCGTCTAGAGCGAGATTCCGTATCATATCTCTGGGATCTGCGTTGAGAAGATCTAGAGCGTCTGCTTCTAGACCTCCGTGAAGATTCTTTGTCTGTTGCTTTTTCAACAGATTTGGATCGACTCCTTTGGTGAGCAGTGGATCTGGAGCGCCTACGTCTAGACCTCCGTGAAGACTCTTTGTCTGCTGTTTTTTCAACAGAAGTTGATTGACTCCTTTGACGAGCAGTGGACCTGGAGCGTCTACGTCTAGACCTCCGTGAAGATTCTTTGTCTGCTGCTTTTTCAACAGATGTGGATCGACTCTTTTGGCGAGTAGGAGATTTTGAGCGTCTGCTTATAGATCTACATGAAGACTCTTTGTCAGACATTTTATCAACAGATTTGGATCTAGATTTTTCACGTTCAGAAGACTCAGAACACCTACTTTCAGGTATAAAGGAAGAGTCCTGTTCCTCAGATGTCTCAAGAGGCATGGAATCCTGTTTATCTTCATCTGCCAAAGAGGGCTCTGCATCCTCACCCTCTTCGCCAGTGGTAGACCTTGACTCATGCTCGTCTGAGGATGTCGAGTCTCTTCGTTCAGCTCTCAGTGAGGGCTCCGCATCATCTACTTCCTCACCAGTGGTAGACCTCGATTCACGCCCATCAGGGGATGTGGAACGTCTGTGTTCAGCTGTCAAAGAGGGTTCCATATCCTCTACTTCTTCACCGGTGGTAGACCTTGACTCATGCTCATCCGATGATGTGGAATCTCTTCGTTCAGCTGTCAAGGAGGGTTCCATATCCTCCACATCTTCACCAGTGGTAGACCTCGACTCATGTTCATCTGAGGATGTGGAGTCTCTTCGTTCAGCTCTCAAGGAGGGCTCTGCATCATCTACTTCTTCACCAGTGGTTGACCTTGACTCACGTCCATCAGGAGACACAGAACGTCTATGTTGAGCTGTCAAAGAGAGTTCCATATCCTCTACTTCTTCACCAGCTGTAGACCTTGACTCATGATCATCAGAGGATGTGGAGTGCCTACGTTCAGCTGTCAAAGAGGGCTCCCCATCTTCTATATCTTCACCAGTGGTAGACCTTGACTCGTGGTCATCAGAGGATGTGGAGTCTCTTCGTTCAGCTACCAAGGAGGGTTCTGCATCCTCCACCTCTTCCCCAGTGGTAGACCTTGACTCATGCTCATCAGAGGACACAGAGCATCTACGGTCTGTTGTCAAAGGCTGCTCCAGATACTCTGCTTCTTCACCAATGCTAGATCTTGACTCATGCTCATCAGGGGACGTGGAGCGTCTATGTTCAGATGTCAAAGAGGGCTCCAGATCATCCATTTCTTCATCTATGGTAGATTTCTGGTCATGGCCCTCAGGGGACACAGATCGTCTATGTTCAGAAGTTAAAGAGGACTCTAGACCCTCCTCCTCTATGTGAGATTTCACCTCATGATCTTCCTGATATGAGGATGTGGAATGTCTACGTTCAGATATCAAAGAGGGCTCTAGATCCCCTGTTTCTTCATCAGGGACAGATTTCACACTGTAGCCATCGGGGGACATGGAGCACCCACCTTCAGGCATTAAAGAAAGCATTGCATCATCATTTTTTTCAACAGGGATGGATTTAAAGTCACTGTCATCAGGGGACACGGAGGCTCTATCATTTAGTGTCACAGGTTCGAGACTGCCTACTTTTTCAACAGTGGCGGCTCTCAACTCCTGGCCATCAGGGTATGCTACATGTTCATTTTCAGGTGTTGGAGAAAACTCTCGCACATCTGCTTTTTGAACAGGGGTAAATCTCACCTCCTGGCTCTCAAAAGACAAAACATTGTAATTTTCAGATGTCAAAGAAGGATCAATATCCACTGTTTTCTCAGCGTGAGTCAGTCTTGATTCATACTCTACAGGGGACAGAACATGTTCATTTTCCGATGTCAGAGGTTCCTTAGCCTCTACCTTTTCAGCAGGGCTAGACTGCAGCTCCCGATCTTCAGGGGACATGGCACATTCACCTTCAGACAAAGACAACTCCTGCACCTCTGTTTTTCCAACACCAGTTGACTGCAACTCCTGGCTGTCAGTGGATGTTGAACTTTCACTTTCAGATGTTTCAGAAGGTTCCTCTATTTCTTCTTTTTCAACAGGACTGGATCTCAAGTCATGGCCTTCATGGGACGCATCATACTCATTTTCGTACAGCGAAGAACACTCCCGCACCTCTGTTTTTTCAGTAAGAGCAGAGACCTCCTGCTCTTCAGGGGATGCAGCATATTGACTGTCTGGTACTAGTGAAGGCTCCTGCACCACCATTTTTTCAGCAAGAGTAGACTGCAATCCTTGGCTTTCAGCAAAGATAGTATATTTGCTGTCAGATGTTAGAGAAGACTCTTGCACCTCTTTTTCAGCAGGGCTGGCTGTCATCTCCTGCCTCTCAGGAGGAACAGCATATTCATTTTCAGACAGTAGAGAACACTCCTGTACCTCTGTTTTTTCAGCAAGGGAAGATGGCAATTCGTGATCTTCAGAAGACACAGTATATTCATTGTCAGGTACTACAGAAGCCTCCTGCATCTCTACCTTTTCAGGAGAGCTAGATCTTAACTCCTGGCCCTCCCAAGATACAGCATATTCATTTTCAGACGTCAGAGCAAGCTCTTGCACTTCTAACTTTTCAACGGGGGGTGACCGCAACTGCTGGCCCTCAATGGACACTGAACATCTTTCTTCAGACATCTGATAAAGTTCCCGCATCTCCGTTTTTTCAGCCGGGGTTGATGCCAAATCTGGACCGTCAAGCCCTACTGTGTATTCATTTTCAGACATTTGAGAAGGCTCCTCTACCTCAGCTTTTTCAAAAGGGGTGGATGTCAACTCACGATTATCAGAGGAAATAGAACATCTGCTTTCCAGTATCAGAGGTGGCTCCTGCACCTGTATTTCTTCATCATAGGCAGATCTCAACTTATGGCCATCAGGGGATGCAATGCATTTCAGTTCAGATGACTTTCGCACCTCTACTTCTTCAGCAGAGATAGGTCTCAGTTCATTACTATCAGGCAACAGCAAAAGCCCCCTTTCAGACGTCAGAGAAGTCACTGGGGCATGTAGTTTTTCAGTAGGTGTGCTTACTGATTCACAAGCATTAGCAAACCTGGAGAACCCACTTTCCAGTGGAAGAGGGTGCTTCTGTATCTCCATTTTCTCCACTGCAGTGGATGTCAATTCATAGCCTTCAGGGAAGACAGAACATTTAAGCTCAGATACCAGTGACAGTTCTGCACCTTCTGTTTTCTCTACGTAATTGTGTTTCGATTTATGGCCATCATGGCACGCAGGAATTCCACTTTCAGACATCAAGAAAGATCCTGTACCCTCTATTTTTCCAGCAGGCAGGTATCTCTGCTCATGCACGTCAGGAGATTCGGAGCAGTCAACTTCAAGTATTTGGGAAAATGTCAGACCATCTAAATCTTTGTCTACAGATGATCTTGACTCATGGACTTCAGAAGACTTGCAGCTTTGTCCTACAGTTGTCAGTACAACTTCCTGCACTTTTTCAGAAGATGCTGAAATGAGGTCATCTGAGATCTCAACAGGACCACACTGAGACATCAGGGATACATCTGGCACCTTGACTTTTTCAACAGATAAAGATCTTTCTTCATTTCCACCAGGTGACTTGAAGGATCCACCTTCAGACATCAATGGAACCTCCTCTACCTGTGCAGGAAAGCTGGATCCTGATTCGTGTCTATCAGGAGACTTGAAGCATCCACTGTCTGGAGCCAGAGAAGGCTCCTGCATCTGGCCCTTTTCAATAGGCAAGGAGGCTGACTCACAGACATCAGGGAACACAGAACATGTAACTTCAGGTGTCAGAAAATATTTTTGAACCTCTACTGTTCCAAAAGATGTTGATCTTGACTCAGGGCTGTCAGTCAACTTGGAAGACTCGCTTTCAGGTACTTGCAAAAAATTCTGAAGCTCTGGTTTTTCAACAGGGATATGTCTCAATTCATGACCATCAGACAAGTCAGAGAGTATGCTTTCAGACATCAGAGAAGACCCCTGTATACCTGTTTTTCCAGAGGATGAGATTGTCTTACAGTCATCAGAAGATACACAGCATCCACTTTCCAGCGTCAGAAGAGGCGCTGGACCCTCCATGTCTTTGAGAGAGGTAGATCTTGACCCATCTTCATGGGATGTGGAGAGATTAAATTCTGTTACCGAAGTAGTTTCTAGATCTCCTCTTTTTTCAACAGATGAGGATCTTGACTTGGGTGTGGAATATGTAAGTTCAGGTAGCGATGAAGACTCCAGAGCCACTGCTTTTTCAGATGATCCATTTTCAGACGTCACAGAAAGCTCTGAAACCTGTGTTTTTTCAACAGGCACGGATCTCAATTCCTGGTCATCTGTGGTTTTGGAGCTATCAAGTTCAGACATCACAGAAGGCTCCACATCCACTGTTTTTTCAACAGATGAGGAGCTTTTCTCAAGACTATCAACAGTTTTGGAATATCCACTTTCAGATACGGGTGGCAGCTCTGGTCCATTTACTCCTTCAACAGACAAAGCTACTGTCATGGGACCATTAGATGATTTGGAGGAGCTCCCTTCACTTGCAAATGAAGGTTCAGGAGCATCTACTTTTTCAAGACCTTTGGTTGACTCTTTAAGTTCAGAAGAATCCACATCCTTGCTACTGGACTTCACTGAGGATAACTTACTCTCTCTTTTTTCTGTAGATTTGGACCTTGACTTAACACTATCAGAGGACTTGGAACGTTTCCGTTTGGATTTTTTTGAAGATTCCTTGCGCTTTTTTTCAACAGACCTAGACCTAGACTTGTAACGTTCAGAAGATTTTGAGCGGCGACGCTTAGATTTTCGTGAGGACTCTTTCTTTTTTTCCACTGATTTGGATCTAGACTTGTAACAGTCAGAGGATTTTGATCGCTGACGCTTAGACTTCCTAGATGATTGCTTTCGATCTCTTTTTTCTACAGATCTGGATCTAGACTTGTAACGGTCAGAGGACTTTGAGCGCTGACGTTTAGACCTCCGCAGAGACGCCTTCCGACCTCTCTTCTCAACAGATCTTGACCTAGATTTCGAACGGTCAGAGGAACCAGACCCTCTATGTCTGAACCTCCATGAATATTCTTTGCCCCCTCTCTTTTCTGAAGACCTGGATCTAGATTTAGAACGGTCAGAGGACCCAGAATGTCTGCGACGGGATCTCCAGGAGGACAGCCTGCTCTTTTCCACTGACCTAGACTTAGACCTGTAACGGTCAGAAGATCTGGAACGTCTGCGCCCAGACCTTCGGGAGGACAGTCGCTTTTCCACTGACCTAGACTTAGACCTGTAACGGTCAGAAGATCTGGAACGTCTGCGCCCAGACCTTCGGGAGGACAGTCGCTTTTCCACTGACCTAGACTTAGACCTGTAGCGGTCAGAAGACCTAGAACGTCTGCGCCCAGATCTTCGAGAGGACAGTCGCTTTTCCACTGACCTGGACTTAGATCTGTAGCGGTCAGAAGACCTGGAACGTCTGCGCCCAGACCTTCGGGAGGACAGTCGCTTTTCCACTGACCTGGACTTAGATCTGTAGCGGTCAGAAGACCTGGAACGTCTACGCCTGGACCTTCGGGAGGACAGTCGCTTTTCCACTGATCTGGATTTAGATCTGTAGTGGTCAGACGACCTGGACCGTCTACGTCTGGATCTCCCGGAGGATAATCTGCTCCCTCTCTTTTCTGCTGATCGGGATTTAGACCTGTAACGGTCAGATGACCTGGAATGTCTGCGCCTGGACCTCCGGGAAGACACTCTTCTTTCTCTCTTTTCCACAGATCGGGATCTAGATTTGGAATGCTTTTTTCTGGAATCTGAATAGTTTCTGCTCCTAGAACGTGCTCTTTTAGAAGTCAAACGCCTGGAAGTAGAACGTGACCTTGACTTTTTCTTCCGCTTCCTAGACCTGGATTGAGACTTGGAGTGACTCCTTTTTTGTTTCTTTGCATCATGTTTTTTATCACTGCTTCTATGGCTGCTTTTTTCCCTAACTTTCTCAAGTCTCATCAGAGTCTCCCTCATTCGTGCCGCAACATCGGGTTGCACATCAGATGTTTCTGAATCTCTTTTCTCTGACTCCTGTTCTGGAGTTGTTTCTTTCACAGCCTCAGCCTCCAGAATGCCTTCTGATTTGCTTGCCTCTGCTGCTAGTACTGGAACTGCTTCTGTAGCAGTCTCGGGTACTGGAGCTGCTTCTGAATCTTTTGTCTCTGTCTCCAACCCCACAGCTGTTTCTGCATCTTTCCGCTCTACAAGAGCCTCGGGAAGAGGAGCTGTTTCCAAATCTTGTGTTTCTGCCACACGAGCTGGAGCTGCTTCCAACTGTTTTGTGTCTCTGATTATTTCAGATTCAGGAGTCTCTGCTGAATCTTTTTCATCTGCTGCATGTGAAGAATGGAAAACTGTTTCTGCTATGAAAGGCTCAGATGCTTGAGCTTGCTCTGCATCTTTCTTCTCAGCCAGCATCTCACATTCCTGAGCTTGACCTGGAACTCTCACATCCTTCATTTGTTGACCCTGCACCTTTTCTGCATATTGTACTTCTGCTGCCATCCCACATTCCAGCTTTGTTTCCAGATCTTTCATGTCCCCTGGTTTTGGAACTGCTTCAGATGATTTCATTTCAGCAGTACTCAGGATTTCTGGAGCCTCGTCTGTACTCTTCCATTCTGCAGCAGGTTTTGTTTCTAGAACTGCTTGCAGGTCCTCTTGCTTTTCAGCGTGCGAAGATTCTGCAACTGCTTCTGAAGCATCCTCTAAAACATTCACTGCCCCCACATTTCCAGACTTTTGGGAAGTTTCCAAACCTTGGATATCCATGTGTACCTCAGGCTCTTCGACTGTTTCAGCACCTTTTACCTCTGCTGTTGCAGACTCTTTCATACTCTCCAACAACCTCACCTCTCTAGCTTCTGATGCTGGCTCCAAACACGTTGCTTCCATTGCTTTCTCCATTTCTGAAGCTTCTTCCACATCTTTTAAATTTATAAGCGAGGGCTCATTTTTTTGTGTGCTTGTCCTTCTTGTTGCAATTATATATTCTACAGTAGGTCCCTGAGTTCTCACATCTGTCAAAATATTAGATTCCAAAGTTTCTTTCAAGTTTCTCATTTCTGTTACTGTTTCTGATGCCACAGTTTTTTCTCCACCTCTGGGCAAAGTCTCTAATACTGCTTCTGAATGACCTTGTACATATTTTGAACTTGTTTCTAAAGTTTGCACCACCGCTGTTTGCACAGGTTCTAGTATTGCTTCTTTGCTCCTTGCCTCTGCTTTGTTTGGATCTTCTGGAGCAACTTCAGAATGCCTTGATTCTCTAACCACCTCAGATGCCAATGTCCTTCCCAAGCCTTGCATTAGTGACTTTGTTTCAGATCCCACAACCATTTCCACATCTTTCAGCTGCGTTAAGTGCGAAGTTTTCGATCGCGCTTCCACAACTGCCTCAGCTTCCGACAAGCTGTCTAAGCCTCTTACTTCTACAGTGGCATAACTGGTAGCTAGTTCAGAATCCGTTATCTCCCCTAACACCTCAGTTTGTGAGGTTCTTGCACACGTCATGACCTCAGACTGTGAAATGATGGAACTCTCTGTTTTGCTTGCACCAACAGGTCCTGCAACTGTTTCTGCATGTTTCGGTTCTCCCTCTGCCATGGTTTTCAAATGCATCATAAAAAACTAACTGGTCCCATGGTTACACATGCAGCCAGAGATTCACGAGTCCTTTGTGACCTTTCTTCTAAAGCAAGAAGTCCTGGACTTGCTTCCAAGACTTTGCTACCCATTTTGGCTTCAGAACACACGTTTCCTCCTAAGCCCCTTGCCACTCCAAGGGTTCCAGGCTGCAAGACTGCTTCCAAAGCTTGTATCTTTGCTGTACCTACAGATGCTGGATCTCCTAAATCTCTTGCACCTTTCATGTGTAGGTGTGATGAAGACATCTTTATTTCTGTCCCAGCTCTGTCAAGGTCTGCTTGTGAATCTTTCCTTTCTGTCTCTGCTATATGTCCTATAGCTGTTCCCAAACTTTTCACTGGTCTCACAACTTTCATAGCTGTTGAATCTAGTGCAGCTCCTAAACCTCTGGCCGCAGTCCCACAATGCACAGATTCTTCTGAAGCTTTCACACCTTCCATTTGCAAAGAGAGTGAAGCCGTTTTCAAAGGCTTTGCTTCCACCACGGCCACTTGACTTAGGACTCCTCCTGGACCTCTAATGTCTTCTTTCTGCAAAGACAGGGGAGCTGCTTCCAAACCTCTCACAATTAATTCACTCTCAGATCTTGATTCTCTCAGCTCCTTTGGTTGTCTCAGTAATGAGGTACCTTCTGAATCTTTTGCCTCTGTTACAGCTACACGCTTGAGAATAGATTCTGAAATGTTTGAAGCATTAGTATTTTCCAATTGCAGAGTAGCTTGACTTGTTTCTTGACCTTTTACTCCTGGTAGTGCTGCAACTTCCATGGGTGCTCGTTGACCTTTAAAACCCTCCATCATCTGGATTTCTGGAGTCGTTTGGGGAACGAAGGTCTGCACAACCGCTACGGGTTCTAAAGTCGCTCTTAAACCTTTTGCCTCTGCAACCACATTCACATCTATCAATTCTGCTGGAAGTGCAGATTCCTGGTTTCCATCCACACTTTTTGTTTCTGTCAAGACTTTACGTTGTAGCAACACTCCTGATGCATTCAGTGCTGTTGCAGGATCAGTGGTACCTTCCACATCTTTGACTACTTCAGCTTGCAGACATTCTTGTGCTGCTTTGACATCTTTCGCTATCACACCCACAGGTTCCATCGTTTCCAAAGTTTTGGGCTTTACTACAGCAATTGGCTGCAGAGTTTCTTCCAAGGCTTTCGCACTTGTCATACACGCAGAGCTTCTAGTTGGTTCAATATCCTTCACTTTTGCAACAGCTCCTGGTCCCAAGTGCACCTGGCTCACAGCAGTTGCTGCAGCTATTTGAAAACAATGTTTCAAAGGTCCATGCGCCTTCAAGACACTTGAGCCCTCCACAGGGCTGCACTGCATCACTCTCAAATTATCAGATATAATTGAGGGCCTCAAGGCTGGCTCCAAAGTTCTGCTCACACCCCCTAATTCCAAAGATCTTTCCACATTTTTAACATGTCCCATATGCAGAGATTTTTCAGATGCTTCTGGAATTTTCACTTCTTCCATGGCCACAGACATATGAGCTACCTTCACAGTATTCAGATCTGCCTGATCTGCAGATTTAGGAACTGCTGTCACATCACTTGTCAAAGACACAGATTCTGAAGCTGCTTCTAACTTTTTTGCTTTCCCCTGTGCCACAGATTGTAGAGATGCTTCCGAATATTTCAACACGTCCATGGTCTCAGACTCAAGAGCTGTATCCAAAGCTTTTACTTCTCCAGTGCCTTTAGATTTCAAAATAACTTCTGAACCTTTTGGTGCTTCTATTACTTCTGAAGCTAAAGTTGCTGCTAAATCTTTATGAATTTCAGATGTATTGGCAACTCCAAATGGGATGCTAGACAAAGTGTCATTTCCAGTATCAACAAGAACACTCTTTTCACTTGCATTAATAGCTATAGGATAAATATTCTCATGGGACGGTTTAATTTGTTCTTCTCTAGTGCAAATTTGAGTTATACTAGCATTTCCTCGTATATCAGATTGGCTGCCTTCTAAATTAAATGGAGGATTTGTTGCACACAAAGTCCCCTTTTCACTTACAAGATTTTCTGTAGATTGCTGAGAATCAGTTATTGAATGAGAAACAAGCCCTAAAGCTTGCCTATCAACCTCCTCACCTACTTTCAAGCACAGTTCTTCTGGCTGCACATGGACAGCCAGATTTGCATCTCCAGATCCTCCATGCTGTACACTCAATTTGGAGCTTGATTTCTCTGGCATCAAGTGAGAAGCAAGCTGCAAGTCTGCTTGTTCTCCATGACGTGTACTCAACTTTGACTCCTTCGGCTGCTTTTTATGCTTTTTCTCTTTCTTCCTTTTCTTCTTCTTTTTCTTCTTCTTCTTGCTTTTGTGTTTCTTGTTCTTCTTGGATTTTTTCCTAGGAATTTCATCTTCAGCAGTAGAGCTTCTTTTTGTAGACTTTGTACTATTTTTCACGGTATTTTTGTCTACATCTAGAAAAAAAATATATTTTCCTTGTAAATGTTATTAAAACTACATTTTCAAAATTCTCTTAGGCTAGTGACCAAGTAAATGAACACAAGTACAAAAAACTTAAACCTGAAACCCATGCCTTCTTCACTAAACTACCATATACAAATAGCACTCACTCCCTTTTCAACCCTTTCACCCTTCCCCTCAGGAGTCAGTTCACACAAAAGTAAGTAATTCTTCTTTCAAAAGGTTAACAAACCTTCTTGGTCAGTAACGCAGTTCCAGTGGGAACACAACTCTTTCCAAGAAGTAATGGGATATACTTCCACCTATATTCAACTGGGCAGTGCATTCTTCCAGAAGGCTGGAGACATGCTTTTAAACTACATCAAGCTGCACATGGAAGTGAAACAAGAATGCCCATTTTCCAGGCAAATTATTTAAGTGTTGGTATGCTCACTGTATAAAACATGGCCAGTCCATTATTCCCTACTATAATTTAACTTGCGAGGGAGCCCAGTAGTGTTAGAAATTATACAGGCACACTTACTGAGTTCCTTATTGACTAAGTTCTTCAAACTTGGGGAAACAGCATCTACTTCCCCAACCCCAAACAAGCTTTAAGGCACTGCAGGCAACAAGCTGTTCAGACTGGACTGCAGTTGCCACAAGCAACTGCAAACCTGCAAGTACCTAATAGAGCTTTTGCTTCAAACAGGAAAGTAACTAACAAACTCAGGTGGCTGCAGGGATAAGCAGTCACTGAGGGGGGAAGAAAAGAAGACGACTGAGGTTTCGATCACCTTTCTTCAACTCCATACCTCATTTCCCTCTGAATTTAACATGTTAGGTTCTGAATCTTCTTTGGATCTAGTGCTATGTTTTCATGAGGAAGGCATTTCTATTAAAGGCAACTTGTTATAATTTCTGTTAAATATGAGCTATATATTCAAGTCTGCTTGTGTGTTATCTTTAATGATTATATTTCTACTGGCCAGTGCCACAATATGGATTCTCCAGTTATAATGTGGCTGTGATTACACAGCATACTCCGAGTAAACAATGTAAAATCATTCAAAAAGTACTGGTAATTGCAATACCATTAAATGAACACAACTTAACATTCCATAAACAAGCATCTTGGGTAGTTTTAAGCACACACATTTTTACAGAATAAACAGCTTAACAAAAAATAGTGTTTCCACCAACACTGCTGTGAATGCAATGAAAGAGGACAATGAAGCACAGTCAAATGACCTTTCCTACATAGGATTTTCAGATAATCTCTGTTGCCCAACAGCAACATTAACTCCTTTCCAGATATGAACAGTGGGAATGTTTACCACAGGTTAAGTTTATTAACTTCCAGATTAATACGTCTCACTATTTATTACCCTGTTATCATCTGTTAGCTGGCCTCATTCTTCCATGACAGAATAACACAAATTAAAAAAAAAAAAAAAAAAATGTCAGCCTAAAGCGCTGCTTGTACAGTGTAAGTGAAAGACTGTTGAAAATTTTCAAGGTAAACAACCAACTGCGCATAAAGGAAATAAAAAGCAATTCCAAAACCTTGCGAAGAGAATCTCTGAAATAAGCAATTTTCTACACTGCCTCTTAAAAAAAAAAATTGACACTGGAACTATACTTACCAAGCACAGAGAAGTCACCTGTGTTTCAACTCCAAAAACTTAGAAATGCAATAATTAGAGCCTTCATCTCACTAACTCTCCTGATTCAGAAACTTTACAGAAAAGACTAGGGATATTCATATGCAACTTTTTGTCATAATAAACCCAGTAATTTATTGCAGTTACGAGATTACTACATAAAAACTTCTTAACCTTTGGAAGATTGCAGTCTGAGTATCTACATTTTAAAGGTAAGTGCATTATTTATTTTAAAAAAACAAAGCATGTTACTCTGACAGAACAGTTAATCATACAGTTCTGAATTCCAATAATTTTTTTAGAAATAATCTTGCAAATGAATCCCAAACAACAGAACAGTGCTTCTAAGCATCAGTACCAGCTTCATTAGTAAGAGCTGCTCAGAGACCCTGAAGTAGGAATATACAAAATAAAGTGCAATATAAGGATATTGCTTAACTTTTTAGCATTATTTGATGGAGAGAAAAAAAAAATAACTTTTTCACACACTAAGTAATGCTTTCATGTAATAGTTAGCTTCAATTTTTAAATTATTTCTCTATCCATCTACTGTTGTAAATCACAGTAGCCAAAAAAAACTTAACAAACACTACAATAAACATACAACTTGTCCTCGGTAAGAGGAGCAGTACTGAAAAGTACTTTTTCATCTCTGTAAAACTGATTCAATTTTAAGCTCTATGACAACCTTCTTATATATGAACATATTTGCCAAATGTGTTTTCATTTACCTGATTTGCACTGCAGCTCTGTATCAAGGGCTCCAGAGAGCACTTCCTCTATTTTCTGCACTATCTGATCATTCTGACGACTCCCAGCACCAGCAACAGTGTCATCTGAAGGGTCGGCTTGCTCAGCTGGGATTGTGTCACCATTGGGCTGGCCTTCTACCTTTCCACTAACCAAAAAAATATCAATATAATACAAACAATGTTGAGCTTTTTTTTACTTTTTTTAATTCATAAGCATTTATTATACTCAACCCTTCAAAACAGTATTTTAGCCTCCTGAAGAAGCCATGCTTTCAGCAAAACATCTACTTTTTGATTAAGTTTCACTTATTCACAACAGAACACATTGTGACAATTGACTATTAGGCACAAGGAAGGAAAACATGTTCTCGAATGTGCCACAGTCCCCATGCTTTATGTAAGAACTTGTATAGGTTCCCCTCACAAAATAAGCACCCATCACTCTTCTCCAGCACATTATGCTTACTTTGCAAGACAAGGCTGGGAAAAACTAGGCGAGCTTAAATGCAGTACGGCCACCACGACAAACCGCACAGACGTTCGCCCCTTCCCCTCTTGCCGCGACACAAGAGCCCAACACGGGAAATCAGTGAGTGAAAACGGGAGCGCGCTCGCCAGGAGACAACGTGTGCGAAAGCCCGCCCTTCCCCCCTCCACCCCTCCGCCGTGTTTTCGCTCAAGGCACTCGTAAGGGCGCG